ATATATATATATATATATATAATATATATATATAAAAATCAAGTGATTTTATTTGCTCATGAAAGTATTTACCTTTGCAAATAGCATTGTGGATAGCTCCTTTTTTTTTTTTTTTTTTTTTCTTTGTGGTACTGAGGATTGAAACTAGTGCCTCATGCATGCTTGGAAAGTGCTCTAGCACTGAGCTACATGCCCAGCCCTTTTTAAATTTTATTATTATTATTTACACTGGAGAGAGGGGTACTTTACCACTGAGTACATACTCAGAATTTTTTATTTTTTTAAGACAGGGTCTCACTGAGTTGCTGAGGGCCTTGCTAAATTTTTTTTTTTTTTTTAAAGAGAGAGAGAGAGAGAGAGAATTTTTTAATATTTTTTTTTTAGTTCTCTGCGGACACAACATCTTTGTTTGTATGTGGTGCTGAGGATCGAACCCCGGCCCCACGCATGTCAGGGGAGCACGCTACCGCTTGAGCCACATCCCCAGCCCCGCCTTGCTAAATTGTTGAGGCTGGCTTGGAACTTGCAATCCTCTTGCTTTAGCCTCCCAAGTTGCTGGGATTACAGGCTTGGACCACTATGTCCTGCTAAATTAAAAAAAAAAAAAAATTTTGTACCAGGGATTAAACCCAGGGGTGCTCAACCACTGAGCCACATCCCCAGCCCTTTTTTGTATTTTATTTAGAGACAGGGTCTCACTGAGTTGCTTAGGGCCTTGATAAGTTGCTGAGGCTGGCTTTGAACTCATGATCCTCCTGCCTCAGCATCCCAAGTTGCTGGGATTTTTACAAGTGTACACCACCTCGCCCAGCTAAATTTTTAAAATATTGAGACAGGGTCTTGCTGAATTCAGCCTTGCCATGAACTTGCAATTCTCCTGCTTCAGCCTCCTGAGTAGATACGATTACAGGTATATGCCACCACACCTGGCCCGAATAACTTTATTGAGAACATCTCACATAAAATAGTCTGTGTGTTCTAATATAAGTATATACATGGTATGATGTTATTTAATAGGTATATATGGCTCAGAATTGGTAAATAACTTTAATAACTACTTTTCCAGATACCTGTGTCATATGAGAGAGATGAACCATTGTTTTATCCCTTTAACATTACTTTGTGCTTGATATTTAGCATGAGTTTTTTTGTGCTATATACTTAAAATCTCTTCTTTCCCCATATTAGGGTCACTCGAATCCCATCTGCATACCTCACACTCTCAAATTCTAACATTAGATTAGAGGATATTAGGATATATATATAACTCTACAGTCTAGCATCTAGCATCTTATTATTGTTGCTATGTAAATTTACCTTCTACCCAAACTCTAGTGTCTAAATTTTTTTTTTTAATTTTCTCTAAGTGTCAGGTTTTGTAGTCTACCTAAAAACCCAGTCATTTTAAAATTGAGGCTGTGCTTTGCTTTTGCTTTTCCTCTTGCCACCCAGGGTAATTATGATTCCAAATCCCAGTTTAGTATGTGGGAAACTGCTCCTTGCTTCTAGTGCCAACTTATGCTAGTCAGACTTTTTGCTTTTGCTGTTTCTGAATTTTCTGCAGCTGGATTCCATCTGCTTGTTGGATGTTCTTTTACTTTACATTGGACTTTTTTTTTCTTGCATTATTGGGAACTAAATCTAAATCCTTGAACATGCTAGGCAAGTGCTGTACCAGTGAGCAACATCCTCAACCCCTTTAATTTAAAAATTTTTTAAATTTAATTTTAATTTTGAAACAGGTTGCTAAGTTGCTGAAGCTTGCTTCAAACTTGTGATCCTTCTGCTTTAGCCTCCTGGTTTTTCATGCAGATTCTTAACCACCTGTTACTATTTGCTCCCAATATAGTACACAGTTTCTACTTTCCAAATTGAATTTCTTACAATACTTTAGTTTGGGTCTATGCCTCTACAAGAACTATGAGGGATTAGCCCACCACACTCTTGAACACAAGAGATTGAGCTGGATGTGGCATATTCCTGTAATTTCAGTGACGCAGGAGGCTGAGGCAGGAGAATTGCAAGTTCCAAGCCAGCTTAGACAAAACTAGTGAGATCCTATGTCGAAATAAATAATTAAAAAGGCTGGGTGTGGTGGCACATGCCTGTAATCCCAGCAGCTAGGGAGGCTGAGGCAGGAGAATAATGAGTTCAAAGCCAGCCTCAGCCATTTAGTGAGGTCCTGAGCAATGTTGGTGAGACCCTTTGTCAAAATAAAATATAAAAAGGGTTGTGGTTGTGGCACAGTGTTTAAGCACCCCTGGATTCAATTCCTAGTACCAATAAATAAATAAATAAAAGGATGGGAATGTAGTTCAGTGGTAGAGTGCCATTGGATTTAAACCCCAATACTGCAAACAAAAAATAAAAAATGAAACACACACACACACACGCCAACAACACAGAAGTCTCACGGAGGCCAGAGACAACGGATATTATTATGCAAGACACAGCAAGTAGCATGAGCTTCATGTTGGCTGCTCCATTTGCCCATCAAGTCAATGCAGAGGTGAGCCCAGGTGGGTGCTATATACAAAGAGGTTTTGCACCAAAGCTGAGGAAGGCCAATCTTAAGGAAAACAATTTTTTTTTTTCATAAGAGTATTACAAGCAAAGCTGACAAATCTTGCCTTGCAATGAGACATTATAGAAGTCAGAGGAAGGAGAAATTTATTCTTTTTGTGCTAGGACACCCATCTTTTGCTCTTGGCCATCAGCACAGTTGTTCTCAGGCCTTCACACCCAGGGTTTATACCATTGGCTCCCCTAGGTCTCAGGCTTTGGGCTTTGATTAGAACTATACCACTGGTTTTCTTTGGTGTCTAGTTTGCAGGTGCCAGGTCTTGGGACTTCTCAGCCTCCATAACTGTATGAGCCAATCCCTCATAATGAATTTTTTTCTATACATCTATAAGTCATGAATTGGTTATGTTCTGAGAAATATGTCATTAGATGATTTTGTCATTATGTGAACATCATGGAGTATTCTTACACAAACTCAGATGGGTATGACATCACTAGGTGATAATAATCTTAAGAAACAACCATTTTATGTGTAGTCCATTATTGACTGAAACATTGTTATGTGGTACATAACTGTATATGTCCTTTTAATTCTTTTTCTCTGGAAAACTCTATAAGTACAGTACCTAGTATGGCCTAACTTGTCATTTTATTTAGTATGCATCATGCCTGTCCTTATTCTGTTCTGAGTGCTAAGTTGTATTGGTTGATGTACTTTCATAAGATACACTGATACTAGCTTTTTTTTCTTTTTTGTACTAGAGTTTAGACCCAGGACCTTTCACACTTTAGGCAAGTGCTCTGACCTGTATCTCCCATCATTTAAAAAAAAATGTTGTTTTTTTTTTTTAAGGCAGAGTCTCGGGGCTGGGGATGTGGCTCAAGCGGTAGCGCGCTCTCCTGGCATGCGTGTGGCCCGGGTTCGATCCTCAGCACCACATAATAAACAAAAATGTTGTGTCCGCCAAAAAATAAATAATAAATAGTTCTCTCTCTCTCTCTTTAAAAAAAATAAAAATTAAAAAAAAAATAAAGAGAGAGAGGATTTAAAAAAAAAAAAAAGGCAGAGTCTCCCTAAGTTGTTGAGGCTGGCCTTGAACTTTCTTTTTCTTTCTTTCTTTTTTTAAAATATTTATTTTTTGTAGTGGGACACAATACCTTTATTTATTTATTTTTATGTGGCGCTGAGGATCGAACCCAGAGTGCTAGGCAAGCACTCTGCCGCTGAGCCACAACCTCAGCCCTAGCCTTGAACTTTCAATCCTCCTGCGTAGCTAGGATTGCAGGAGTGAACTACCAGGCCCGACTATAATACTGGCTTTTTATTAAAAGGAATGCATTTGCTTTTATAAGCAAAATAATAAATGCATTTCGCATTTCAGGTAAAGCTTGATCTAACCACTTACCTGTATCACAAAAGACGGAGTTTCTTTCTGCCTTTTAATTCTTTTTATATTTCCATTATATCAGCTTTATTCTAAATGTAGTTTTTCCTAGTGTGTTAAAAATGAACAGTAGGGCTGTGGCTTAGTGGCAGAATACTTGTCTAGCATGCATGAGGCCCTGGGTTTGATCCCCAGTACTGAAAAAAAAAAAAAGAAAAAATGAACAGCAACAATCTAGGTCTCCTCATGCACATCGAGCATGGGGAGTTTTCTCAACTTTTCTCCAACTTTGAAACCAAAATCATAGCTTCATTCAGAATATACCAACTTAAGTCACAAGCCCATCCTTGAATCAATCATTATAGCAAGAAGGATGAAAATATGCTTACTGGCTTAACCTATTGTTGACTACTTTTGGGGAGGGAGGTGAAACCCCTCCTTTTCAGGTTGGATGCTGTGTGTGTGGAGAAATAGTAAGTGTAATCAACAATGTCCATCCTGCAGGGAATAAAAAAGGAGGTAAGCCATCCCCTTTGCCAAATATAATTGATATTACTTCTCTGTTTCTGTTTCAATGTTATTTTGTCTTTCTTTTCCATTTTTGTTTTATTAGCAAATTGTTTGCAACAGAGGACTATTTGGCAGCTATTAATGCATACAATTTAGCCATAAGACTGAATAACAAGATTCCTCTATTATATTTGAATCGGGCTGCTTGCCACCTAAAACTAAAAAACTTACACAAGGCCATTGAAGATTCTTCTAAGGTATATATTTATCTATTTATTTATTTATATATGGTGGTTTAAAATTATTATCCTTTGTGGATGGGTATATAGATTAGTGACCTTGTGTGTGAGGCTCTGTGTTCTATCCCCAGCACACATTCACAAAATTGTTATTCTCCTATTTATTGGAATTAGTGCAGCCAATACGGAAGCAGTATGGCGATTCCTTGGAAAGCTGGGAATGGAACAACCATTTGACCCAGCTATCCCACTCCTCCGTCTATACCAAAAAGACTTAAAAACAGCATACTACTGGGACACAGCCACATCAATGTTTATAGCAGCACAATTCACAATAGCTAAACTGTGGAACCAATCTCTATGTCCCTCAATAGATGAATGGATAAAGAAAATGTGGTATATATACACATTGGAATATTACTCAGCAATAAAAGAGAATAAAATCATGGCATTTGCAGGTAAATGGATGGAGTTGGAGAATATAATGCTAAGTGAAGTTAACCAATCCCAAAAAACCAAATGCCAATTTTTTTCTCTGATATAAGGAGGCTGATTCATAGTGGGGTTGGGAGAGGGAGCATGGGCGGAATAGAGGAACTCTAGATAGGGCAAAGGGGTGGGAGGGGAAGGGAGGGTAAAAAAGATGGTGGAATGTGATGGACTTCATTACATTAAGTACATGTATGAAGACATGAATGGTGTGAGTATATTTTATATACAACCAGAAATATGAAAAATTGTGCTCTATATGTGTAATATGAATTGTAATGCATTCTATCATATATAATAAATTAGAATAAATAAATAAATAAAGCTCTTGGTGCGGGATATATGGTAGAGGACATTCAACACAACTACAACAAAAAGAGGAAGGAAGGAAATTATGCTTTTTTTTCTATTTTTAAATTTAAACAATTGAATCTCAAGGATTTAAAGAATTGTCTTGCCTTATTACTTTTTAAAATAATTTTTTTAAAAATGGACTATGAAATGGCATTTTTAAAAAATTTTGAGTTAGATTAGAAATCACCTTCAATTATTATTATGCATTAGCATGGCATAACAGTTGGAATTCACAAGGAAATTGGTAAAAGGTTGTCAGTTGTGCTGTTTTATTATTAAAGTTTTACAGGTACAAGGAAGAACACTTAGTATTCCTTTGTTATTTCTGCCATTTGCATAGTAAAAGAATATTTCCATAACCATTTTTTTCATTTTTAGAGTCAATTAGACTATCTTAAACTCTACAGCTTTTTCTTTTTTTCCATATCAAGGTAACTTCTTTTATTGGGCATGTCACAAGCAAAGTCTTGTATGTGGCTCCTTGAGATTGAGGATATGGAAGAAAAAAGCATATCTTCAAACTTTGAACTTATAATATTTTTTCAATCCAGCTTTCCTTTGACTAACACAATTTTGTGCACAAATATTTATTGAATGAAAGAATAAACTGAGTCACCCAATCCAAATACAAAAGATCCCAAATGCTACTTAATCATTCCTGCTAGTAAAGGTGCATGCACCAAAGAAAACAAATCATTCCGTGAGGGAGTATAATCCCATACAGAAACAATTGAAGAAGTCCTTAAATTGTTTAACATAAATGTATGTATTTTATAAATTACTGTATCTGCTAAGCCAAAAATTTAAGTGGGTGAAGGCTTAAGGCATGTTTTGAAGTTCATATTTTTACCATGTTTTTGTTTAAGTTTAAATTAGGAAGTTATGTCTTTATCTTGTTAATTATGTATGTGTTTTGTAAGGCTCTGGAGTTACTGACACCACATGTTGCAGACAATGCTAATGCAAGAATGAAGGCACATGTACGACGTGGAACAGCATTCTGTCAACTGGAATTGTATGTAGAAGGTAAAAAATTGATAGAAAATGGGTTTTGTTTGCTTTCTCTATTTTTGCCATACTGGGGATTGAACCCAGAGCCTCATACATGCTAGGCAACTGCTGTACCACTGACCTATGCCCTAATCCTTTAAATTTTATTTTGAGATGAGGGCTCACTAAATTGTCAAGCTGGCTTAGAACTTGTGATCCTCCTGTCTCAGCCTCCTGAGTAGCTGACAGGTACGTGTGATACTGTGTCCAGCTTGTAGAAATGTTTTAACATTCACATCTACTCTCATAAAAAAGTCATTGGGATTATTAAAAGATCATGATTGTTTTTTCATACTGGAATTTGAACCCAGGGCTTCACATATGCTAGGCAAGTGGTCCACCACTGAACTACATCTCCAGCCCTTAAATTTTTTTTTTTTTTAATTTTGAAACAAGGTCTCAAGAAATTGTCCAGGTTAGCCTAGAACTGGCGATCCTCCTAACTCAGACTGCCCAAGTAGCTGAGATTATAGATATGTGCCATCATGCCCAGCTGGGATCATGAGTTTTTAGGACTCCATTTAAAAAAGATTTTTAGCATTTAATTTATTCTTTGCAACCTATCTGATTAAATAAAAAGTTATTTTGAAATTATATTTTAAAAGTTCATTGTAGGGCTGGGGATGTAGTAGAGTGGTAGAGTAGAAGAGTGCTTGCCTAGTTCTGGGTTTGGTACCCAGCATTGCAAAAATAAATAAGTAAATAAATAAAGAAAGAAATTGTAGAAGAGAATTAGAACAAGATATGAACAATGAGTTTAGGTCTGGGAACATGCTGTATTATCAGACAACATTTCTATAGATAGATATGTAATAAACTGTATAGATGATTCACTTGAGATAGTCAGACCTGCCTGGCACAGTGGTACATGTCTGTAATCCCACCAATCCAGGAGTCTGAGGCAGTAGGTTCAAGAGTTTGAAGCTACTTGGCAATTTAGTAAGACCTTGTTTCAAAATAAAAAATATAAAGGGCTAGGAATATAGTTCAGTGATAGAGCTCTCTTGGGTTCAATGCTTAGTGGGAAAAAAACCCCACAAAAAACAGTGTGTGTATATTTTATACTTTATAAGCATACACATATGCATGTGCACGCACATGCCCACACAAACTCAGAAATTATCTATCACAATTTATAAACATTGCTTTTCTTTGTGATACTCTACTAAGGTCCATAATTTAACCCAAGGCATTTAGAAGTCATAGAATTTCTTTTATTTTAACTTTTTCTTTTCCTTCTTTCTTTTTTTGGTGCCAGGGATTGAACTCAGGGTCATTTAACCACTGAGCCACAACCCCAGCCTTTTTGTGTTTATTTAGAGACAGGGTCTCATTCTCATTGAGTTGCTTAGGGCCTTGCTAAATTGCTGAGGCTGACTTTGAACTTGCAAGCCTCCTGCCTCGGCCTCCTGAGTACCATGCATGGCTAATTCTTTCATTTTTAATATATTTAGAAGGGTTGGGGAGGTGGCTAGGTCACAAGAGCACTTACCCAGCATGCATGAGGCCCTGGTTCAATACCCAAAAGTTTACCTTCAACATTCCTCTTCTCATGCCTCCTTATCCAGATGCCCATTTAGCTTCCCTTTACTCAGCGATTAAAGGCTGCTTCTTAATGATGCATTTCCAAGAAATGAGCTTCAGCCTGTACATTTTATTTCTGATTTTGTTATTAAATTTTATTCTATCATTTTTCTAACCAAAGTATCCAAATTAGGTTTATATGCTACATCCCTTTTTAATGTCTTATCCAAATTAGGTTTATATGCCACATTTTTTTAAATATCATATCCAACTTCATATGGATAATAATAATCAAGACGGGAATGTAAAGAACTCGTTAGAAAGTATAACAACATGAAGCTGATGTGGTGGCACATGCCTGTATTCACAGCAACTCAGGAGGAGGCAGGAAACAGGAGGATCGCAAGTTTGAGGCCAGCCTCAGCAACTTAGTGAGACCCTGTCTCAAAATAAAAAAGTAAAAAAGTGCTGGAGATGTAGCTAACGTGTCCCGGGATTGAATTCCCGGTACCAAAAAAAAAAAAGAGAGAGAGAGAGAAAGAGAATGAAAAAGTATCAACATGAAACTGGGAACAGTAGTGGATGCTGGCAGTCCTAGATATTGGGGTGTCTGAGTCATTGTGAATTCTAGGCCAGCCTGGGCAACTGAGAGCCCTTGAGTTTAATCCCCAGTACTCAAAATAAATAAATAAGTTAAAAAATAAATAAAATAAAACATTATGTAAAGAGGGAGAAAGAAAGAAATTATAGCAACCTAGATATTTTTGCGCTACAGGGAACCCTCTTTTTTAAGATGAAAAAATAGAGGATGGCAGAAGTTAAGTAATTTGCCTGAAGTGAGTGGCATAGCAGACACTTGGAACTAGAACTGAGTTTTCCTTGTTCCCCCCCCAAATATTCTTTCCATTTGCTTTTTGGATAAAGATTGAGATGGAGTTACTTCTTCTTATTAAATAATCCACAGTGTTTTTCTTTGAAACAAATTTTCCTTAAAGAACTTTACTGTAGATAACTACAGAAAAAAAAAGCACATACTATAGTGTACTCTGTGAGTATAAATATCAATTGAGTTTCAGATCAGAGCTGTAGCTTAGTGTTAGAGCACCTTCCTAGCATGTGAAAAGGCCTGGGTTCAAATCTCAACATCCCCTGCTCTGCCAAAAAGAAAAATCTAGAAATATATCTAAGTAAGATATATTTATTATTTTTTTCATTGAAGTGATAAAAGTAGACTTTGGGTATGTAAATTTTATTGAGTTTATTCAAATGTTAATGACTTAAGCTGTTAGCTTATTTGTGCTTGAATTTAAAATAACTGCTTCTTATTGAACCCTGAATGAAATCATGATTATTCCCCAAATCACTGAAAAATTTCTAGTCTCATAGGTACTATGGAAGATGGAAAACTGATTTGAAACCTAGGGATTGTCCTGAACCATACTTTATATGGTTTCTTTTCTTTTTCTAATTAATTTTTTTTTTTTTAGTTTTTGATAGACCTTTATTTATTTATATGTGGTGCTAAGAATTGAATCCAGTACCTCACACATGCCAGGCAAGTTTGCTACTGCTAAACCCCAGCCCCAGCCCCAGCCCCTCTTTTTCTAATTTTAATTTAATTTTTTTTTCAGCACTGGGGATTGAACCCAGGGGTTGTTTACCACCGAGCTACATTCCCCAGTCCTTCTATATTTTATTTTAAGATAGGGGCTCACCCAGTTTGGCCTAGATTTTTTTTTTTTTGTACTAGTGATTGAAACCAGGGGCCCTTAACCACTGAGCCACATCACCAGCGCTTTTAATTTTTTTTTTATTTTGAGACAAGGTCTCCCTAAGTTGCTTAGGCACTCACTAAATTGCTGAGGCTCGGTTTGAACTTCTGATTCTCCTTCCTCAACCTTCCAAGTGGCTGAGATCACAGGCATGTGCCACTGCTGGCCTAGAATTTGTTATCCTCTTACTTCAATCTCTGGAGTCACAGGGATTACAGGTTACTTTTTATTATTTTTATTTTATTTGGGTGGGGGAAATGGGGATATAACTCAGGGGCAATTTACCACTGAGCTACATTCCCAGCCTTTCTTTTTTCCTGGGGGTTGGGGGTTACCAGGAATTGAACTCAGGAACACTTCGCTACTGAGCCACATCTCCATACCTATTTAGTATTTTATTTAGAGACAGGGTCCCACTGAGTTGCTTAGTGCCTCGCTTTTGCTGAGGCTGGCTTTGAACTTGTGATCCTCCTGTCTCAGTCTCCCAGCCACTGGGATTACAGGCCTTTTTATTTGTAATTTTGAGATAGGGTCTCACTACGTTGTTTAGAGCCTCGCTAAATTGCTGAGGCTGGTCTCGAACTTGCTATCTTCCTGTCTCGCCTCCTGAGCTGCTGAGATGTAACTAATAGGTGGAACACTTGCCTAGTACTAGTGCAGGGGAGATGTCATCTAGATAAGACAAATACATATAAATTACTTATTAATCATAATTGCTGTTTAACGTAGGCCTACAGGATTATGAAGCTGCACTTAAGATTGATCCAGCTAACAAAATTGTGCAAAATGATGCTGAGAAGATTCGGAATATAATTCAAGGAACAGAATTAAAATCTTAATGACTTCAAGAAGCGACTAGGTACTAGCATTAGGTATTATTTTATGTTTTTCAAAAATAACTGGAGAGACTAGGACTATTTGTACATATTATGGCTGATTGTGCATACTCTTTAGTACTCTTTGTGAAGAGGGGAAAATATTATAAATCTATAGAAAAAGAAATGTTTGCTTTGAATCATTTTTGAATAAGTAAATCAAAATAAGAATAATCTATTTTAATAGTTTGCTTCCTCACATTAGCAGGCAATTTATACTTTTTAAAAAACTGAATTACACTTGTTCTTTTAACAAAATTGTTTGACTCCAGAACACTTACTGATTTTTAATGTTTAACAAGGTAGAATTTGTTTTAAAAAGTTTGTGCTTAGTTGGTATTTTTGTTTTATTAAAAATACTATTTCATTGTCTGAATGATTGCTTTGGTGTAATAAATATTGATATGTTTTTTAGTTAATTTCCAAATGCTCAGAAACTTATTTTTCTTTAATACTCTACTATCTGCTGTTTGAGGTTAGACTAATTCAGCCCTGGTAAAACAATTACTTGAAAAACCTTATCTTCAACTTTAGTTATAGGCTGTTGTCAAAAAACAAAATTATAACAGATTTAGCTTACAGATCTTGTTTGACTTTGTTTTGTACTTCCAGTGTTGTTCCAACTGGACAACACTTCATTTCTTAAAATAGAATAAGTGTTCCAGTGAGCTGAGCAGAAGAGGTTGGTTTTATAAGCACAGAAGAACTAAAGAAAGCAGAAACAGAACAAAGTTATCTTCCTTATAATGTGCGCATAGGGAAACAGAACAATAGGAAAGTAAAAGATTGGTTATCATCTAGTTATTTCAGGTTACTGGTTTTGTTACTGAAAGCTTGGTCCTTGTCCTGGATGCTAACAAGTACATGGTTTTGAGAAAAAGGGGGGAAAAAGGTTATTGCTTTGCTGGATGCTAACAAATACATGGTTTTGAGAAGAAGGGGGGAAAAAAGGGTTATTGCTTTGCTAATATAGGAAAATCGCAGAGGACTCCGCCCCAGAGGCTGTGATTCTGCCCTTCAAGGGAAACAGAGGTTTTTTAAATAGGTGACTCCAAGGCTACATTCCTGTTCTCTGTAGAGTTGTAATTCATTTGTTAATTTGGGAAGTAGTCATTTCCCTGATCTTTTGGTACCATCCCCAAAGTCTGAATTAGTTCCCAAGGTGGATGTGTGCTCAAGGACAGATTAACTGTCTAGGATGCGGAAGAAAGATAATCTTGTTCTTCCCCTTCCCTGAGATTGGAGAAGGGTAGAGATTAGGGAGGAGCCGGGGGAGAGGAAGAGAAACAAGTACATTTAAAAAATTAACTGCAGCGGCTTATATTCAAAGCATGAAGTGGACCACTGTTACACTATCTCTAGTGAGAAGTAACCCCTTAGTCTGGTGTCTTAATATTTATAGAAGACAGGCACAGTCATGTACACATGTGATCCAAGTGATTTGTGAGGCTGAGGCACGAAAATCCCAAATTTGAGGCCATCGGGGCAATTTAGTGAGACCCTGTCTCAAAATAATTTGTGTTGTACCTCAAAGACAGAATGCTCCTGAGTTCAGCCCCCATTTCTACCCTCTCCACACACATAAATTATAGAGGACAGTAGCTAGGGAGTGAACTAGAGGTGGAGTCAGGATGGGGTCACACAGTTTGACACCAGTTTTCTTTGTCCTTGGCATATTGTCCTCACACAGGCTACTTTCTGTGGACAAGGATGTGGCTGGGTCTCTGAAGCTGCTTGTTTTGCTTTCCAAAGGTTTATTTCCAGCATACTAATGGCCAAGTATTCCTGGGGGCTTCTCTTTTTAAGTTCAGTATTTATTTATTTTTTTTTTCTTTTATTTATTTAGTTAGTTAGTTCTCAGCGGACACAACATCTTTGTTGGTATGTGGTGCTGAGGATCGAACCCGGGCCGCACGCATGCCAGGCGAGCACGCTACCGCTTGAGCCGTATCCCCAGCCCTAAGTTCAGTATTTAAAAAAAAAAAAGAAATTCTATCCATAAATTCCTGTCTCAGGGTGAGATTTTTATAGTTTTTGATCACCTGATGCTGTCATTTGAATGGATCATAAAACAGCTGTATTTTTTTTTTAAACAGTAGTATCTTTTAAAATGTACCTTTTATGGTGGGGTGTGGAAAGGCTAAAATGATAGAATTTCTCTCACAGTTCTGAAGTCCAGAAATCAGAAATGAAAGTATTGTTAGGGTCACATTCTCTTGGAAGGATCTGGGGAAGAATAATTTGCTGGGAAAGATTTTGATTTAGCTTTATCTTCTCAAGTCAAGTCAATTCTGATCTCCTTGGCCTCAACTTGAGCAGTTCTATGTCTGAAATATTTTGTACATACATTGCATAAATTGTCACGTCATTAATTTGCTAATTTCCTTCACCCCAAATTGTATTAACTGAAACAATTTTAAAAGCCACTGTTTTTCACTTGTGTCTTCATTTGTATTGTCTACCATATATATTTGTTAAATAATGGAATAACAAATTCATTCATTCACCAGCCTAGCAGTAGGAACTAACATTTTCCTAAATTCTAAGCAATTAATTGAAATCTCAGAAGAGTGAAAAATTATTGTTCAGAATTTCTCTTTTTTTGGGAGAGGGAATACTACTACTCCCCACCCCCTACCTCCATGAGGGTTATTGAACACAGGGCCTAGTACATACTAGGTAAGCACTCTACTGTTCAGTTATATCCCTATTGGTTGAAATCTTTCTTTTCTTGTGGTTATGGTGATTGAACCCAGGGCTTTGCACATATTAGGCAAGTACTCTACCTCTAAGCTACGTCCCCAGTCTTTTTCTTCCTTATTCTTTTATTTGAGACAGGGTCTGAGTTGCCCAGCCTTGCCTCAAACTTTCTATCTTCCTGCGTAGCTAGAACTGTAAGAGCACGCCACCATACTGAGTCTTTTTTTTGGGGGGTGGGTGGGTGGGTACTGGGGATTGAACTTGGGGGCATTCAACCACTGAGCCACATCTGTATCCCTATTTAGTGAAAAACCAGCCTCTATCTCAGAGCAAAGCCTGTCCAAGGAAGGGACATGACCTTTGTCCTTGGAAAAACCCATAGAGCACTCCTAGGCACATTCCCACCCTGCTAAGTGGTTTATCTACAAATAACAGGAGAGATCTGCTGCGCCAGGTGTCCCTGACTCAGTCAGGCTAGGTGGAAACCCATAGTAATCCCCTAGCAGCCACCAATCAGCATGAGACAGGGAAATACCTGGGATGCCAGATGACCCTCCCACATGGTGGTTGATAAAACGTGTTGGGAAACCATGTAGTTCAGCACGCACACCCCTTAAACCAATCAGTTCAAATGAATCCCCCTCTTGTAGTAACCAATCACCCCTCCCCAACTTGTTCCCTCCAGTGAATGTGCCAATCATGTTTTAGAGTTGTTATTTAATTTTCCCATGGTGTGTGATGATTTGCTAAGAGATGCTATGATGTTATGTGGGGGTCCCTGCCTTCTCCAAAGAATGTATAAAACTGCTGCAAACCCTGGGCTCGGGGCCTCTCAGAGTCACCAGTTGCTGTGTGTGCGCGCGGAGGACCGAGCTAGCTCGCAATAAACACCTCTTTGCTGTTTACATCGATCTTGGTCTCTGGTGGTCTTTTGGGGGTCCCGAATTCGAGCATAACACTTAGAATTTTATTTAGAAACAGAGTCTCACTGCATTGCTTAGCACCTCACTTTTGCTGAGCCTGACTTTGAACTCGCAATTCTCCTGTCACAGCCTCCACCAGCCGCTGGGATTACAGGCATGTGCCATCATGTCTGGCCAGAGTCTTTTTTTTAATTTTTATTAGTTATTGACAAACCTTTATTTATTTGTTTATATGTGGTGCTGAGAATTGAATCTAGTACCTCACACATGGTAGGCAAACGCTCTACCACTGAGCCACAACCCCAGAGTCTTTCTTAATTCAGATTTTTCCTTAGAACTCCTGTGTTCTTTTGTCTCAATAAGTAGTAGATAAATAGGATCATGAAAATCATTTTGAAAGATTTGGAGTACATGTATTAATAACTAGGAGCCAGGCATGTGTGTAATACCAGCTCCCCAGGAGGTGAGGCAAGACCCCAAGTTCCCAAATGCAAGACAAGCCTGGGCAAGTTAGGGAGACCCTGTCTCCAAAAAAAAAAAAAAGAGCTGAGGCTGTAGCTAAGCCATATAGCACTAGCCTAGCAAGTGCAAGTTCCTGTGCTTCATTCCCATTAGGACATACAAACATACTTTCTAACTTTTACTATTTTCAAGTACATTTTTATTTAAAAGTTCACTGTCATTTAGTTATCAGTTGAAATTCCTTCTTTCAATTTTTTTTAGTTGTAGGTGGACACAATACCTTTATTTTTGTGTGGTGCTGAGGATCAAACCCAGTGCCTCACAATGCTAGGCGAGCACTCTACCTCTGAGCCACAATTCCAGCAGGAAATTCCTTATTTCTTAAAAAGGTTTTTAAGAAAATTGATTCAAATCTATGTTTTAAATTGGGTGTTCTAACATTATTTTTAAAAATCATACTTGGGCTGGGGCTATAGCTCAGTGGCAGAGTGCTTGCCTAGCACATGTGAGGCACTGGGTTTGATCCTTAGCACTGCATAAAAATAAATAAAGTCATTCTGTCCATCTGAGAAACTGATGTGACTCCATTTTTTAGAAACCAGCTTCTACCTCAAGGCCTGTCCAGAGGGAGGGGGCATGACCCTTGTCCTTGGAAAAACCCACACAAGGCTCCTAGGCACACATCCACCCTGCTGAGTTGTTTAACAGGAAAGATCTGGAGTGCCAGGTGAGCAACCACCAATCACCATGAGACAGGGAAAATATCTGAAATGCCAGGTGACCTTCCCAGTAATTTCTGGTGATTGGTAAGAAGATTAGGTCACCCTGAAGTTTATTTATTTTATTTTTATTTTTTTAAGAGGGAGAGAGAGAATTTTTTTTTTTAAATATTTATTTATTTTTTTAGTTTTCGGCGGACACAACATCCTTGTTTGTATGTGGTGCTGAGGATAGAACCCGGGCCACATGCATGCCAGGCGAGCGCGCTATCGCTTGAGCCACATCCCCAGCCAGGTCACCCTGCAGTTTAGCATATACACTCTTGCAACCCCTCGTGGCCTAAACCAATCAGTACAAATGTATCCATCACTTGAACTCACCAATCATCCTTACCCAACTTGTTCCCACCAGTGAACGTGCTAATCAATGTTAAGAGTAGTTGTTTGATTTTCCCATGGTGTGAAATGATTTGCTGTGTGATGTTGTGACGCATAGAGTATCCCCCAAAAACCTATAAATCCTCACTGAACTAAGGGCCAGGACTCACTCCCGGGGAATGCTGCATCTGAAACGGTTGTGAGTCCAGGCTCGAGCTTGCAATAAAGACTCTTATGTGATTGCATCGGATTCGGCTCCTGGAGGTCTACTGGGGTCCCACAAATCTGGCATTACACATCTACAAGTCCAAAAAAAAAAAAAAATTAAGGCATATTTTCTCTTAAATTGTCAAAAGTGTTGCTGAAAGCTCCGTCCTTGTCCCCAATGCCAATGCAATAACAAGGACAAGATTTTGAGAAAAAGGAAAAAGAAGGTTTATTGCTTCATTAGCAAATGAGAAACACAGGGGACTCCTGTCCCAAAGGCTGTGATTCTACCTATCAGCAGGAACAGGGGTGATTCAGAGAACATGAGATTATGGAGGAGGGATCAGAAAGGAGAAGGTCAGGGAAAAAGACTATGGGGAGAAGATTGAGGAAAAAGAGATCAATAACATCAGGGAAAAGTTTAGGAAAGAGAAGATCAGGGAGAAGGTTAGGAAAAAGAAAAACAAAACAAAACATAAGTTTCAAAGCCACAAGGGATATAGTCAAAGCATCAAGTAAATCCCTGTTGCAAAAGGAATATATTTTCATAGAGTATGTTGAAAATTAGGAAAATCAAGGGTTCTGTTTCTATCAGGTGCAGTATTTAGACTGTTATTTTGATAAAGTCCAGTTGCGCTAATATGGTTTGAAAATCCTTGCTCCCTTGGAGTATAATTGCAGGGGAGAAACTGTGGCAAAGGAACAAATTCACCATAATGACTTGAATTGGTTTTGTACATAATCATCTGAGGTTTTGATAGTGAAGTAGCTGTATGGAGTGTCTTTGGGTCCAACATACAGGAAAACACAGGATTGCCAGGGTTCACACAAGGAAGCAGTTGTTCAGGTTTCATTCCTGTGTCTGACTTTGAAGCTGAAGTACTCTTCTTATCCTAAAAGATAAATATATAAAACCATTCTCAATTATTAAAAAATAGAATTAAACCTATTCCTTTCATACCCCTTTTTTTGGGGGGGAAATGCTATTCCCTTGAGGGTATTGAAGACTACCTGCTAAATGAGCTTTATTTGGTTCAGAGAAACTTGTCAAAATATTCATAAACATGTTATACTAGCACTATGAAAATTGATTAAAGATTTATAAATCAAGCTGGGTATGGTGGTGTATGCCTGTAATTTCAGCTATTAGGGAGGCCAGCCTGTGCAATTTAGTGAGATCCTGTCTCAAAAAACCAAAAAGGGCCAGGATATAGCTCAGTGGTAAAGTGCCCCTGGGTTCAATCCCCAGTACTGAGGGGGAAAAAATTAATTTATAGGAAAAGTTTATAATAATAGTCATAGCTGAAGAGGGAGTATACCTCAATTTTTCTAGGGGATAGCCATAACAAAGAATTACAGCTAACAGAATAAGCACAACTGGGAAACTGGGATAAGTGCTATGAAGAAAAATACAAGATATGAAGATATACTGGGGGGCTTTAATCTAGTGTTGGGGGTAGGGAGGGCTGTTCTGGTGAAGTTTTATTAAACCTAAAGGTAGAAAGCAAGGTAGGAAAAGAGATGGAAGCAAAAATCTTGGCCAAAGTCACGTAAATTAGGGTGAAAATGTTTTTAGATAATATAAGAGGCTGAAGCCAGATCTTGCAGGATCTTGGTAATTATGGTAAAAATTTGAGCAGGCTGTGGTGGTGCATACCTGTAATCCCAGTGATATGGGAGGATGCAGCAGGAGGATCTCAAATTCAAGGTTAGCCTCAGCAAATTAGATCATGTCTTAAAGAAAAAAAAAAAAAAAGGATTGGGGATGTATCTCAGTGGTAGAGTGGTCTGGGTTCAGTTCTCTCTCTCTCTCTTTTTTTTTTTTGAGCAGGGCACAATAGAGCATGGCTGTAATGCAGGGACTCAGGAGGCTGAGGCAGGGGAATCAAAATTTCCAGGCCAACCTCAGCAATTTAGTGAGACCCTATCTTAAAAGGTTTGAGGATATAACTCAGAGGTAAAGCATGACTGAGTTCAATCTCAAGTACCAGAAAAAAAATAATAATAAGATAAAAGCAATGGAAAACTCTTGAAGGGTTTTAAGGAAAGTATGGTGTAATTTTTAATAAAATTGCTTTGGTTTCTCTACGAGCCTTGTGTAAAAGTGGAGAGGAGCTGTAGTAGTCCATGTAGTGTGTGGCACAGACATGGACATAGTAAACACATTTGAAATTTAGTCATTTGAGGGAAGGAGGCAGCAAGATGTTTAAAAAAATGGATGCAAAACTGCTTGTAGCTTTCTAACACGTGTATAAAAATGTTTTATCTTTAATAATGTCTCTTTCTGTTTTTCATTTTAACTGGGTATTGATCTCAGGGCTTCATGCATGAAGCAAGCAAGTGCTCTATCACTGAGCTACATCCGTGGCCCTTTTTAAAAAATTTTCAGATAGGGTCTTGCTAAATTGTCCTGGCTGGCTTCCTGTCTCAGCTTCCCCAGCGGTTGGGATTACACACCTAGTCACTGCACCTGGTCCTAATTTACTGTTATGGGCACCTAGGCAGATTGCCCAAGTTTGAACATTATAGAAGCATGCTGAGGCAAGCATATAAAGCAGTGGATTGAACTCAGTCATGCTTTACCTCTGAGTTATATCCCAGATTGTGGGCTTTTTTTTTTTTTTTTTAAAGTAAATACTATTGCCTTTAGTCATGAGAACTTTTTTTCATCAAATAACCCTTTTAGTCATTGGCTCTAAAATTCTGATCAGTTTGGCTCAACATGTAATACAGAAAACCAAATCTATCCCTCTACCCGCACTTCCATTTCTACCCACTCCTTTTTCATAAGGGACCTTTAAAAAAATGAGACAATTTGGGGCTAGGGATGTGGCTCAAGCGGTAGCGCGCTCGCCTGGCATGCGTGCGGGTCCTAGGCACCACATACAAACAAAGATATTGTGTCCGCCGAAAACTAAAAAAATAAATATTAAAAATTCTCTCTCTCTCCTCTCTCTCTCTTAAAAAAAATGAGACAATAGAGGAAAAAGAATTTTGTTTTTACAAAAAGTGCAAATACATATTATGAACATTTTACTTTCTCAATAGTATCAGAAGAGAGTGATATAAGAAATGAAAGAAAACCAAATCTAGTTCAAACAGAAGACAAATTAGCTGATAAACTTTGTTGGTTTAACATATACCACAAAATCTGTAAGTTAGACTGAAATCTTAGATCTCCACGATAATGAAGCCAGAATCAGGCAGTCAGTATAGATAGGTAAATCGAGTCAGGTCGGATCAAGGAGGCCAATTTTGAGTGATTCTGGGAAGTTGGAGACTGTCATCCCCTAAGGGATCGTAATGTTAATTCCTTCAGAGACCTTCCTCCACCCTTATCAAGAACCTGCCCAGTTCCAATCTGTGATGTAGGTAACCTGTTCCAGGAATTGCCCCTCCCTACAGGGAGCTAGGGGATGTTAATGTGTCCTTGGCTTCTCCAACCTGCCCTTCCCCCTTCAGCCCACCTGTTTCCTACCTTTGGGCCATCCTACTGAGCATTCCAGGGCCTAGTCACAGATGCAGGTAGGAGAAAGATAAGACTAGGACTTAAAAAAAAAAAAAAAAGAGTAGAACACCTCACTTCTTGGAGTACCAGGATACCAGCTATGGACCCCTTCTCCCTCCAGGGAGAAATCTGTTACCCCTTTTTAAATAAACCCTGCTTTATATGCATGCCTCAGCATGCTTCTATAATGTTCAAACTTCAACATGTGGGAAAGCAGGACTCCTCACCAATAACTGGCGATATCAATAATTCACAAATATTTGTAGATTCAGAAACAAAATTATGTGTTGTTTTTACTTAACCACACAGGCCTTCAGTGTGGCTCTTCTTGTTCGGCATTTGCCCTTTTCAAACTTTTTTTTTTTTCCTTTTTTTGTAGCACTAGGGATTGAACCCAAAGTCTTTTGCATGCCAGGCAAGCCCTCTTTCATGAGCTACATTCCCAACCCTTTTTTTTTTTTGGAAGATGAACAGAATACTTTTAACTTATTTTTTATGTGGTGCTGGGGATGGAACACATGCGAGGCAAGCGCTCTGCCACTGAGCTACAGCCCCAGCCCTCCCAGTCTTTTTAGTTTATTTTGAGACCAGGTCTTATTAAGTCCTCCAAATTGCTTAAACCTTACTTTCCACAGACCATTTACAGTGATTATAAGTGTATTTTCCCCTCATATCCTTTTTGGAAAAGACACAATGTATATAAACATGATATTAAAATTAAGCTACGTTAGTCTTGTTCAAACTACCGCCAGTTTGCCCTGGAGTACCAGTGTGTACCATTCCCCAATATCATTTATACCTTCAGATCAACAATGACTTAATTAAGCGCTCATTTTACATTTGAAAATGTAAAAACTCTAGCCTTCTGCACAAACCCACCCAGTCGCAGTCCGTCATTCTATCTTCCTCAATTTTTCGGCAAACGGAGTCTTTTCCTGCGGCGGAAGGCAAGAAGTCCGGCAATTGCCCAGGAAACTACACCCAACTAAAGCAGCAAAAAGTCTGAATCCTTGGCTGGATCCCTCTGTATAAAACCATCTGCTTAATCCATGGAGATGTATTGCCTGGCAAAACCGCGAATCCTTTCGAGTGGTTGCAGCTTGTCTCCATAGCAACTGGCCGCGGGCGCCGGGGCCCGGATGTTGTGAGGATCCGCGGTGGTTTGCCCCAGCTTCCTTTGGCCTCCTCAGGGCAGGCTGCACTCCTCTTCGGGAGTTGTAGTTCTCTTCTCTGCCGCCGCCGGGCCTGAGGCGCGGGGTGGACTACAAGTCCCGGCATGCGCTGGGGCACCTCGCCAGCCGCCGCCTCCCGGCTGCGGACGCCTCCTAGCAGGTTGTTGTTTTTATGAGAGGCGTCACTGGCGCCCGAAGCCGTGACAGCCGCCACAGTGACAGCCGGCTGCGTCTGGTGGAGGTGGCGCTGCCGCGTCAGGTACAGTCTTGGGCGAGTTTAGACCCCGGGAGCGGGGTCGGGGCGGACTGTCGGCAGCCGTGATTTACACCCTCAGCTCCGCCGTCTCGCGGGGGCAGAGTGGAGGTCTCCCTCCTGCGCGGGGCAGCTCGAGCGGGAACTTGACCCCTGGCGCGCGCGGCCCCACGGGCGAGCTCCTTGAACCCCAGTCCGGAGCCCCCGGGGACCGGGCTGGGCCCTGAGGCGTCAGGTCCTGTGGTCTGCAGCCTCTGACCCCAGCGTGCAGTCCTGAGGGGTTGCCCGGGTGGGGGAGCTGATGCCCCAGCGGACCCTCCCTTTGCCGGGTAGGGCTTGAGGCGATTCTCGTCCGGACTGATGGAATCCATATGGTAACATGTGTGCGTCACTTTGCTTGCCTCTTCGGTCTTTCTATTTTGATGACGTTTGAGCCCCGTGATGCCAGGAATAGAAAGAGTAAAGGTAAAACAATGCAGCTGAGATTTCTCCTCCAACGCCAGCCTCCTCCTCCCTACCTTTCTCTCTCTCCAGCGGCCTCCTTTAGCTAGTCTTCCTAAAGGACTTGTCCTCAGTAGCAGCTGTCCCACGCGACGTCTTGTGTGTGTTACATATTTGGCTGTATTTAATGAACCCCAACTCTTTGCCATTGGGAACGACAATTGTAACAAACTCAGCCAATTAAAGTATTTGGTTGAGTGGTGAAATTTGCACTATCCCCCTCTAGCTTTATTAAAGCCAGAATGGAGGTTTCTTGTAACTAGAATAGATAAGTACTTTAGTATTGAGAATTTTGGGAGTAATCTGCCATAAGGTCACAGCCACTAAGTAGTGCTTGAGATGACACTGTTAGCAGATCATACTTTGGCTTAAGGGTTGACTAGACCCCACATTTCCCAGGGTTATTTGTCATACATAGCTAATGTGAATGGTTTACTATTCTATTACTAATTTACTATTACTATTTATGCTTTTCTAGTATGCAGGAGGCCTTGGGTTTCATACCTAGTCCTGGAAAAAAAATTCTAAACCATATTTAAAGGTTTTGGGAAAAACTTATTTTAAAATAAAAACAGGTTAGAAGTTAGTGTAATTAGAGACAATTTTGAATACCAAGATATAGAATAAGAAGGTGCTTATATTTCTATTGAAAAATAAGGCCAAAAGAGATTCAACGTGCAAGTACGAATTATTTTTTCTTTACTTTGCAGTTTTTTTTTTAATATTTATTTTTCAGTTTTCGGTGGACACAACATCTTTATTTTATTTGTATGTGGTGCTGAAGATCGAACCCAGCGCCCGGCGCATGCCAGGCGAGCGCGTTACCAATCCAACTACATTCCCAGCCCCCTTTGCTGTATTTTTCAAATTTTCTATAGAAAGAAAAGGAATGCAGCAGTTTCATTTCATTTATATGGATTAATCAAACATTACTTTAAAAAGTATTTACAACAACAAAAACAGTCCCTGTTGCTGAATCTACAGACTGTATGAATTTAAAAGTAAATTATTTTGGAGAGAAGAAGGGAAAATAAATGAATTAGTTGCACTGGAAGGAATAAAAAATGTAGATGATAATAATTCTTAGCATTTGTACTTAGCATTTTTTGATTTTTTTTCCACCTTGTACAGTAAAATCAAAGATAAAAGTACTTAGCCTTTCATGAGTTAAGTCTGGACAATTCCTATAAATTCATCAGGTGAAGAAAGATTGGACCTACTGGAAAGATCTGAAAGTAGCAGAATTTGTTTATTATTTTTAAGCATTATTATAACCAGGTATTTTAATCTTATTAACATGGAATCACTTTGAGTACTATATTTTATATGTCTGATATTTTGCATTTATTTTTATTTTATTTTCTGTTACTGTTATGTTGGGTATGGATAGGTAAGTAGCATAATTATTTAGTGCACATTTGTTTTGTGACACAAAGACCACATTGTTCTTCCATAGGAATACTGTATGCATTTTTGGTATTATCAGTCACTTTAAAAAATTATTTAACTCAATGCCAAGTTAATTAGTTGTTTTTTTTTTTTTTAAGTTGTAGCTGGACACAATACCTTTTTATTTGTTTGTTTGTTTGTTTATTTATTTATTTATTTATTATGTGGTTCCCAGGATTGAACCTGGTGCCTCATACGTGCTAGGTGAACACTCTGCTGCTGAGCCACAACCTCAGCCTGCCAAGTTAATTCTTAATGCCTCAATGGCATTAATTTTGTTTTGTTTTGTTTTGGTACCAGGGATTGAACGCAGGGGCGCTTACCCACCAAGCCACATCTCCAGCTCTTTTTTATAGACAGGGTCTCACTGAGTTACATAGGGTCCCTATAAGTTGCTGAGGCTGGGTTTGAACTCATGATCCTCTTCCCTCAACTTCCTAAGTTGCTGGAATTATAGGCATGCACCAATATTGGCTAATGCCATTAATTCTTAATAAAATATCTATGTTGTTATTTTTTAGGCAATAGTATTCATATTTTATTTTTTTAGGTTGCCTTGTTTGGAGTGTTCCTTCTTTAAATTTAAATTTGTGTTCTATATTTTCTACATTTTAATTTTGTGTACTTTGTTGGTTTACTATGTTGTTAGGATTTGGATCCTCTTAACAAAGCATAAGAAGTATTCATAATACATTAACATGTCTGATTTTTGAATAGATGTAATTGTATTTCTATCTAAATTAAAGATTTTAAAAACTGAGGTCTGAGTATGAACTGCCAGAATAATTAAAAAAAATAGTAGTTTCTGAAAATGTTAAGAACATGGACACAGCAACAAAGCCAATTAAATCCGTGGTGTTTTAAAACAAAATGCAGACTCATCTAACAATGCAGAACCACTAGAGGCTGAATTATTTTTGTGTTTGTGTGGTTAAGGTAAGGAAGTGGCCATAATCTAAGTGACAACTACTGTATTTTGAAGGATTTCCTTCCTGACAGTTCTGCAAATTTGATGAGATTTAAACATCTAAAAATATAAGTTGGTTTCGAAGGTCTTTTTCAGTGTCTAACACGAGAAAAAAAATTGAGTAAATCATCTCTCAATTTGAGTTCGAAGATGAAATTTAGCCCCATAATGTGCAAAGGATTGCATCTAACAAAGTTAGGGATTTTTTTAAAAAAGGGAATTTAACGTATGATAACGTAAGCTGTAAAAGAGGCTTTAAGATTTTCTGAAGAAGTATTAGAAAATAAGTAGTGTGAATTAAAGATTTTCCTCTTTAATCACATGAAGCCAAAAATCTAATTTTTCTTGAATATTGTCTATAAATCACTATCCTTTCAAAATTTTCTGCTTCATATTGCCAGCTTAATGAAGAGTAAAAGGGGCATTGGATTGGGAATCAGGATGTTTTATGATGTTGGGCAAGTAATTTAATTTAGGAGTGTCTATTTCCATTTATAAATTGCAATAATACAATAATAGCAACCAGTTGCCTTACTTCTTTTTCTGAAGATCAAATCAGACATGATTTGTAAGTGACAGTATTATTGGCCTGCATAAATGACATTTACATAAAGTATATTATACACTTGAAGTATGATGACTTGACATGATAAATGCTTCTTGATGAAGTTTCATTAAAGTCAAATGGAGCTTCATATGATTTCTTAGTGAGCTTGGTGGCATTTTTTAGGTTGAAGGAAACCTGGCTCCTCTTCTGACTGTGACTTTGCACTCTGCTGCATTAAAGGCCTTGAAATAGTAGTGTGTTTCTGTGGTTGGGTTTTTAATTTTTGTTTTAATCTCACGTCTAAAGAGATTATTGGAGCCCTATTTTAATAGGAAGTGGCTACTCTTTCTAAAATGTTCTAAAATGAGACATTAAATTAATTTTATGAGAAATGAGACTACATTAAGTATGAAATCCCAGGTCCTCTGAGAGATAACATTGCTTACATAAGCAGTAAAGTTTAGCCATCTCCTTCTGGAGAAGTCAGCCCTGGCTGTTATAGCATCTGACTATGGAGATTAACTTCAAGTTTTGTTGACAAACAGCATTCAAATGAAAAGTCTTAGTAATTTAGGAATATGTTATAAGGAGTCTATCAGAGTACATAGAGGTAAATGAAAATAAAAGACAAATATAAATTGTATCATGGGTTGGTAATTCTTTTAAGTGAGAAATCCATCTGTTTTTCTAATAATTATTTTTTTTTAGTTGTAGGTGGATACAATACCTTTAAAAATAAAGGTGCTGAGGATTGAACCCAGTGCTTCATGAATGCTAGGTGAGCATTCTACCACTGAGCCACAACCCCAGATCTATACTTTTATCCTGTAGAAAAATGAAAGTTTGAGAATAGCAAAACCCAACCAGGATCCAGTATTTTTAAAATTTATTTCTCTATACAAAGGAAAAAGAGCACCTGTGGCTTATAGTAGTACCCAAGTGAGGACAGACTGTAGATTTGTGTGTTTTATATATCTTTTAGCCCTTCCAGACTTTTATAAAATTAAGATATAACAACATGGGAAAAAAAAAAAGATTTTTCTCACAATGAGAATATCCTTTGAAAAGAATACTATACTAGCAGTTATTTTTTCCTCTGTGGCTTCTTTTAAATTAAGGCAAAAAGGGAAACTTTTATCTTCAGATGTGGCAGTAATTACTTTTGTTTCCCAATTATGTTACATCAAAGAAGGAAATGTGTGAAGTAATTGTGTATTGACTCACTTCTCTTGCAGAATTTATTTTTTAGATCAAAAGGTTACTTTGCTGTATGTTAACAGTATTACTTCCTCTTTCTGGGCATGGATAAAATGAAATTATTCCCCCTTTTCTAGGTTTTTTTCAGGTACCTATGTTTAGTAATAAATTTTAGGGTTTTTGTACTTTATGAGAACTGGGAGACCCTGCTTAATGGGTGGGTTATTTCCACTTTGATCATGAATATAAGAGGCAGGATAGCCATGGGATCTACTTCTTGATGCTATAATTGCCACCCTGAGGACTGAACTTATCAAAAGCCCAGATAGTAAAGATATTAAGGTA